GCCGCCCCCGTACACCGCCCGGCTGCCCGATCTTCCGAGGTGATTCGGAGGTCTTCCTCCTCCAGTGGCTGGCCGTGAACACGGACAGCGTCGCCGGCGAGACCATGGCGGCGTTTTTGCGGCGGCACTCGTGGCGCCACCTGTGGCTCAGCGGTCACTACGGGGAGACGACACTCGTGCTCGTCTTCGCGGTGGAGAACTGTGAGGGAGCTCTTGTCTTTCCCATCAGCGCGGCGGCCGGTGATTGGCCCGACGTCGCTGCGTTGTGAGTGGTGGCGGCCGTCAGAGTAAAAGGAACGCTCCGCTTTATTGTGACGTTGCGCCGCTCGAGCGTGATCGTCGGTGTTCGCAGCCAGTCGTTGCCCGCCAGGTCATGCCGGGCCACATCCTGCGCGGGACCGGCGCCGGCTTCCAGTCTCCTGGCCGCAAATCCTGCAGGGCATTCGGACAAAGGAAGCCGAACGGACGGGGCAGGGAAGGGACGGAGCGGTCACGGGGACTTTGGCCACCCGAAAGAGCCGGATTGATCATTTCCGGGAAAGGTACTAGGCGCGGCAGAAAAATAGAGGTAGGCTAGCTTCTGTGCCCACGGCCACTCCAATTTGGAGGGGCGCACGAATCGTCGACGTTTCACGCGCCCCTCACGGCGGCGCACGGCGGTGCTGCTCTGCTGCTTTCTCTCCCTCCCTCCCTTTTCGTAGCGCCGGCGCCCTTGCTTGATCGCTGGTATTCGGGGTCAATCGTTGCGTGCCGGCAGGAAGGGGAGAGGGGGAGGGGGGAAAGCAACGGACAGGGAGGAGAGGGCCAGGAGGAAAAAGGCTACGAGGCTATGGTGACAGGCGAGGCATTAGCCGAGGACAGCCCCATGGATAGCGCTAGGCATAGGCCTAGGATAGGCCTATGGCTAGCCTAGGCATAGGCCTAGGATAGGCCTATGGCTAGCCAGGCATAGGCCTAGGATAGGCCTATGGATAGCCTAGGCATAGGCCTAGGATAGGCCTATGGATAGCCAGGCATAGGCCTAGGATAGGCCTATGCCTAGCCTAGGCATAGGTCTAGGATAGCCCCATGGATAGCGCTAGGCATAGGCCTAGGATAGGCCTATGGCTAGCCTAGGCATAGGCCTAGGAATTGGCCTATGGATAGCCTAGGCACAGGCCTAGGATAGGCCTATGGATAGCGCTAGGCATAGGCCTAGGATAAGCCTATGGATAGCCTAGGCATAGGTCTAGGATAGGCCTATGGATAGCGCTAGGCATAGGCCTAGGATAGGCCTATGGATAGCCTAGGCATAGGCCTATCCTAGACCTATGGCTAGCCTAGGCATAGGCCTAGGATAGGCCTATGGATAGCCTAGGCATAGGCCTAGGATAGGCCTATGGATAGCGCTAGGCGTAGGCCTAGGATAGGCCTATGCCTAGCCTAGGCATAGGTCTAGGATAGGCCTATGCCTGGCCTAGGCATAGGCCTATGATAGGCCTACGGGTAGCGCTAGGCTAGCTCCCTAGGCCCCTGGGATAGGGGCTACCCTGGCTCGAGTATAGGGGTAGCTGTGGGAGTTCTGTATGACACAACGGGCAATGTCTCAAGCAATGTATCGACTGTGCAACCAAGCAAGAGCGACGAGCAAAGTTCTGCCAATGTAATGCTCTGCTCACTGCTCCAAGTCCAACTACGCACCAACAACCATTGAGCGTGAGGGCAAGGACAGAGACGTAGTAGTCAACGCGACGGGCAATGTATCAAGCAATGTATCGACTGTGCAACCCAGCAAGAACGACAAGCCTGTGCAACCAAGCAAGAACGACAAGCAAAGTTGCGCCAATGTACAGTAACGCTCTCAACCAATGCTCAATGCTCAACAGTTCACCAGCAACCATTGCGGGTGAGGCAATGAGCTCTCACGCAGCGGTGCCACGAACACTGTTATACAGTCAAATGACCTGCTTTCAAACGCAGCGCGCGCAGCACAGGCGTCTGAGGCAGCCTCTGCGTCCAAGACATCTTGAGCTTCTGACTGAAACACGCGTCGCAGCATCTTCAGTGGAACTGCGTGCGCATTGGCGCCAGGCTTCCGTCCTCCTTTACAAAGCGCATCAAGACTTCTGCAAGCTTCGGCTCGTCAAAAGAGCCCTCTGCTTCTCCAGCGCCTTGCGAAAGATCTTGCGCGACGACCTCAAGAACTCAGCCGCTTGCTCCATCTGCGGCCCCCCACTCATGGCAGGAGCCCACGACTTGTGCATGTTGTGCGCAATGAGCTTGAGAGCGCCTGTGCCAACCAACACCAGTTTGTCCGACGTGCAAGCTTGATGCCAAAGAGCAGGCTGTATGTTTTTGGCTGTGAGTAGTCCGAAACAACCGCTCAACACCTTGGCCTGCACACAGCCCTGCTTAACCTGCCCGACCTTCTTTGAGGTCCACTGACAGAGCCGAAAAACATGCTGGAACCATGCCTTTTGTCCCTTAACCGGCTTGCATTTGACCTTGTTGAACTCTGCCATGTTGAAGCCCTGTGTCAAGAGTTCATGAGGGCTGTCACTGGAATAGACAACGTCTGAGCGTGCCTTTCTGAACTCTTTCATCGCCCTGCAGTTGCTCGAGGACGCGTTGAGTAAAGGTAGTGGAGGAGAAGCGGCTCAGCGCAATCGTGGCTTCCCGCCGTGAACCTTTCTCAATGGGAAGCTTCGACAGAACCTGCAATATCAATAGCGTTCCTCGGTCCGTGAGCTCCCAGTTGATCTTCTCCTGCAACAATGCTCGCAAGCTAGTCGTCCTCTTCACAAATTTCTTGGGGCCCTTCTGATTCGCTTCCAAGCAACTTCAAAGCCCTTGTCCAGAATTGCCGGCTCAACTCCGTGCTGCGTCAACAGATCTTCCCAAGAACGCGCAGCTCTGTCATTGCTCCATTGCTCAAAGTCCAGACTTGCTTTCTCGTAGTGCGCATCATGCAAGCCACGCAGGAGAATCGCCCCAATCTGAGGCGGCAACTCCTTCAGCCGCACCGTGTCCCACAAAGCTCTGCTCCGCAGGAGATTGTGAGCTTCCTCTCCATGATGATCGGATGCACCAGGAATTGACTACAAGTGGATGATGATGGTTAAATTAGGTGATGACTACAAGTGGATGATGGGCTAGTTTATACTGCGTTTAGAGTGCGTTCATACTCCTTTCGTTCGTACTCCTTTGGTCCTGCCCTTTTTCTTTTCCTTTGCTTTATCTTTTCCTTTTCCCTGTCCTTGTCCTGTTCCTTTTCCTTGTTCCTTTCCTTTTCAGTGTCCTTTTCCTTTTCCTTTTTCCTTTCTTTTTCCATTTCCTTTTGCATTCCTTTTCCTTCCCTTTTTCTTTCCTTTTCATTTCGAGTGTGAAAAGGGCAGGACCAAAGGAGAATAAATGGACTCTAAGCTCTTTTTCTTTGTAGAGGATTGAAGCAGCTAAAAACAAGCTCTCACACACTGCAAGTCCAGAACTTCCTTCTTTTGCTCGTTTTTGGAAGGTTCCGGCCACGCCTTCCTCGCGACCAAGGGTTTAGCTGCTGTGGGAAACTTCACAGCAACTAAATCCGTGGTCGCGAGGCAGGCGTGGCCGGAACCTACCAAAAACGAGAAAAAACAGAAAGTTCCGGACTTGCAATGCGCGACCAAGGATTTAGCCGATCAGGAAAAATGAGTTTGCCCAGGGGCTCAAGAACAATGGAGGTCTATCCACGGTCTCAATGGAGTATAGTAAATCCCATCCTGCGCATCACCTGTCCAACTCGCGCTTTCCCAGCCTGAGCAGGACGAACAGCTTCACGCTGCTGCTGGCGCATCGCTGCTGGCGCTGCCGGTGCTGCAAACCGAACCGAACCTACGACCGAGCCGAAAAAAAGGTAAAACAATACTTTCAATAATGTAAATGTATTGAACCGAACATCGAACCGATAGCATGGAATTGAAACGTCAACCGCACCGATAAACATTTGAACCGAAGCATCCAACCGATAAAAAATTGATACAACGCCAAACCGAACCGAAACCGGATCGTTTCAACCATGCAAATTAGTGCGAGCATGAACTATCCTGTGTCCTACCTATAGGATCGTCCACAGGCAGAGCGGGCTAAACAAACAAGAAAAGGATAAAACGCCTAGTTGACCTAGGAGCCACTAAGGCCAACCCCTCCTCTGTGGGAGTAGCTGTGGGCCTGTCTGTCATTTGTGCGCGTGTGTACGCCTCAGAGGTGGTCTGACATGTAGTTTGCAGGTGCTTGTCAGCTGTTAAAGCTTCTTGTTACTAGTAGTACTGCCAGGAGCCCCTAGTAGCGTCCTTGCTGCTAGTTGGGCCCTTAGTCTTGGTTTGCTGTCACTGCACATTTTCTGGATGTATGGACCCTGCTGCTTGCTTCACTCAGGTTGTACACAAATCTCGAGTGTGGGTGCGCCCGCACCCGCGCATGTGTGACCCTTGAAGGGAATCTTTGGCAAAGCAGCCACAATACATGTGGATATCATTGCTGTGAGACTTTCGATTTCCTCTTGGCCATGGTTTTAACGACAAAGAAACCAGGCGTTGCATCTATTCTTCGTCGATTGTTCGTGTCGTTCGTGGGGTTTGCGATTAGGACACTTTGAGCCTTGGACGGCCACACACAGCTTAAGCCATACTCAGGCCTTCTTGGGAGGTGCATTCATGTGCTACATCTCATGCGTGTGAGTTTCAGTTAGACCTGAGAGCCGCACTTTAGTGTTTCGACTTTGGATTTTCAGAGCAATGGCAGTGCGCAAGTGGGTGTCTCCCTCCCTGTTTTGATTGGCTGCTTAATCTCCCATGAGACGTCCTTGATGCGGTGTTCCCTTTGGATATTCTCCCTGCTTTGAGGCTTTGGTGACCTGACCATGCATTCAGCCCCTTCCCCTCCAGGTGTGTCAGCGACAGCTCCTTTCGGGGAAATACAGAAGCAAGCATAGTAGAAAGGTGTACCGGTGTAGCCAATAGAAAAACGCACAAAAAAGGCCAAGGCTCCTTGGTGCAGCCCCCCGCAAATGGCCATCAAGCCTGTGGCAGCTTTACGGGGATGCAAACAAGTACCGCAGTTGCAATCCTCCTCCTCCTCAACGAGGTAATAGAAGATGCCGGCTGTGAAGATCAGCAAAACCACCAAAAGCCAAAGGAAAGGTGAGAAGGGTTTCAGAAAACTGAACCAAATCGACTCGTATCCCAAAGCAGGATCCCAACGGTTGTCAGTTACTTCCTTGTGGACCATAAGCTTCATGCTGCCTGCAAGGATAGGGCTTGTAAAGGTGGCCATCTGCCGGCGCGTGTCGGTTTCCATAACCACCGAAACGCACACATCGATCAGCTGCATCCGAACGTCATGGACGCATGCATCCCAAGGGGACGCATACAAGCTTAAGGATGCTTCTGACACACTCTTCTGGAGAGTTTGAAAGCCTGCTGTCTGCTTGAGCTGTTGAAAGAAGCTTGCCACTGAACCGGTCCATCCATCATCCTGCTGGTAGTGCCAAGGTCGACTGCTAGCTGGATACGCAAAGCGTAATGTCTGGCCAGTCAACTGTGTGCGAATCTCCTTGAGAACGTCGTCTTGACTGTCTTGGTCACCACATGTCAAGTAAGAATACTGCAGGTCCATTCCTTGAAAATAGGAGCTTGGGTAGCTTGCGGTCGAACAATTCGAAGTATCCACATAGCAGTAGAAGTGCTGACAATCCGCTGGGGAGTCGCAAAGACCCGGGAGGTCACCATCCCAACTGGCGCAGTAGGATCCGAATGTGTCGGCAGCATCGTACATGAGCAAGCCTTTGGAGGTTGGAACGTGAAGCTTGTTCAATCTCCAATATGTGCTGGACAAAAAGTCAGGCGATACGCATGGGCAACTAGGAAGGCCTGATGTTTGACACTCAACCTTCACAAGCGGCAAGAGCAAACCCACGATGATGTGGGATTTCATGTCTGCCTGGCGCACCTACCTACTTTGTCACAGCCAAAGCATTTGAGCAAAATGCTTTTGGACGGACATAGTCTCACATGCCACACTTCTCCAAGAAATCAATTGCAAACTGGACCAGTTTTGAACAGCTAGTGCTGTTTGACGCACCCACAGCGCCCGTGAAGCATCTTCAAGGTCCCTCTTGGCCGTGAACCTAGCCTTTTCAGATGGGTTTCGTGGCTGCACGTTCCGAACAAAGGGCATCGCTACGAACGGAGCAAAGGACGCTACTAGGGGCGCTCCTGGCCTTACTACTAGGAACAATAAAGCTACTAGTACGGAATGGATTGCATCTTAGTCGGACGAGATGCCATGTCGTTGGATTTGGCCGACCAACTTGCAGCACAGGCCTCAGGACAAGAAAACTGAACTTGTGCACTACTCTGCTGAAGGGCAATCTGCACTATTGGAGCTGACAAAGCAGTGCACTCCCATGTCGTTTTTTTCCACCCCACTTGAAATTCCGAAAGCTTCTAGAGACTTGACCAAAGAACTCTTGGTGCACCGGCTTCAGGCAACTAAACGAAATGACTTCACCACATTGATTGCCAAAGTTGTGCGCCACCACTTTTTTAGTATCTTCATTCTGCCACACGTTTTCAAAACAGCTCACTGTCTGGAATGGTGCTTTGTTGCATAGAGTTTCAGCCTCAGTTTGTCGCTGCTCATAGTATCTCATCGTACACCCCACAGGGTGTTCAAGCATCAATGGTGCAAAAGCTACTAGGAGCAAGGACGCTACTAGTAGCTCCTATCCTTGGACTTTGTTGTTGCTGGCAGCAGTTTTGATTTTCGGCTTAGGCGCCCCGAACCATCCCCAAACAGAAAGAAAGTCTAACTAGAAAAGAGACCGGTAAAAAAGATCTAGTTGGAGGCCATTGCTTCTAGGTTGGTGGCCATCGCTAAGAGATCTACCAATTTGTCTTCAACCATGAAGAACACCTCCCAGTTTACCCTGCCGGGCCCTACCGGCACCAGAAATTTCATTTTGACCCAGGAAGATCAATGCCGGGTCTTCAAGTGAGGAACAAGGTTCGCTACTAGGGGCTCCTGGCATCGCTACTAGGAGCAAGGACGCTACTAGGGGCTCCCGGCCTTACTACTAGGAGCAATGTTCGCTACTAGGAGCTTTTTCTGGTGTCAAGCGAGGACGAGTTCTTGTTGATGCCTTGGGGTCTGCCCGAGGGCCCAGCACACCACCGTAGGACACCAGCAGCGGTGCACGGTGCCATGATCGCTTTGGAATTAGCCAAAGACTCTGAGGAAAAGAGAGAGAGAGAGAGAGAGAGATGTATATCTTTTCAATCATACCAAACAGATTGGGCCAAGAACATCTCCTTCTTTTGAGACGACAGCTTTGGATTTGAACTAGCGTCCTCCGGACCGTGAAGATTGTCTTGACCGGTTCAGTCTTTGAAGCGGGGCAGAAATGAGTATAGAGGGCAGTGCGATCTTTTTCTTTTGCTGAGCTAATAGGGGCTCCTGGCCTTGCTACTAGGGGCTCCTGGCATCGCTACTAGGAACAAGAAGCCACTTTGTTGTCTTCTCTTTGCGCTCGTCTAAAGTTTTTCACGCTTGCCCTGAAACGGCTCTGAACGCACCAAGGCTCAAACAGCAAAAAGGAAGTGAACACGGCTTATCCCAAATTCGTTGGGTTCGACCAAGGGACTTTGCAGAACAACTGGTGTGGCTAATGCAAAAACCGACGCGTCGAACATGTTCTTGCTTCAGTCAGCTCTACGACAAGAGAAGTCACTGCAGGCAACTTGTAGAATACGGCAAGCGGATTTCAATGTCTTGGTGCACAATAGCATTGCAACCATCCTTGACAGAAAAATCATTTGGTTTCACTTTCAGCTTCATTCTCGAAGGCGGCAACATGCAAAGCTCTGGAAGTGCTGACATTCAACACACACCACCAATTTTCACACAATTTCACTCGCAAGTCTCGGCTGCTGATTGACTCAATGATCATCCCAACTCAAGCGGGCCAATGACGACATCATACGAACCGCCGAACCAGCCCCAGCGCCTCGCGCTCCTTCTTGAACCGCAAGGCCTTCGAGGGCACACTGTGGGGTGTGTTGGAATAGGTGTTCGCGATAGGAAGAAGGGACATGACCCCACTCTTTTTTTCAAACTCATTAGATCGACCCCCAACACTGAGTTTTAAAGCTACAGGTCAACTCAGAACTTCTTCTAGTGCATTGTTGAAGGGAGCAAAAGCGCCTTTCGGAGTGCCCGAGGGGCCAGGTCTACTGCGATGGTGGTTCATGATACCCTGTACGTGACCCAGGTGACATGTCTGGCCAAGTAGGGGCTCCTGGCATCGCTACTAGGAGCAAGGACGCTACTAGGGGCTCCTGGCCTTACTAGTAGTAACAAGAAGCTATTAGAAACAAGTGCCTTACTACTAGGAGCAAGAAGCTACTAGGGGCTCCTGGCCTTACTACTAGGAGCAAAGCGCCTTTCCGAGTGCTGATGAACTGGACGGATCCTCCAAGTGGTACGGGGGCAATGGTCAGTTGCTTTGCAGTATGGTCGGAGGCCATCGCTCTCAGAGTGGAGGCCATCGCCATTAGTAACTCAAAAGAAGATCTAACTAAATGCCTCGGGCTCTTCCACGTCCAACTTCCCAGACTTGTCATTCCTGCCTCGCTCCTGAGGGTCGCAGCCTCATCCTCCTCTGGAATTGGTGGATGATCGGTGATTCCGAGTCACGCTTTTGACTGGAAGGGAATTAATGTCGAACATTTCACCATCCTCCTACACTTTCATCTCAAGTTTCGTTATCAAATGGGAAAAAGGTTGCTTTTCATTGTACTCACTTGCAGCTGTCTAGCAATGGCCGCCGCTTGACTAGCTTCACAAATCTGATCTGGTAGTGAGTGAAACGAATAGAAGCCATCATAAGGTCGAGATCTTGAAAGCCTAGTCGAGGAATTCCTGGTGATGGCACTTGCCCAATCTAGTTTCACCTGGAAGGCACCAAGTCCACTCAGCCCCTCCAGAACCCTCCCAAAGAAAGCCTATGCTACTCTGTTACCCTTAGATGTCAGTATTCTTACTTTGAAGATAGCTCTTTAACTTCATTTTGTCCATTCTTTATTTTGTTCCTTTCTCTCCTAACAAACATGCTTTCTTGTAGGTACTCAGGAGATCTTGCACCGGTCTTCAACTCCAATCGTTGCTTTTGGGCAGCTCCTTGTGAAAGGGACGGAGCCTTAGATTCCGGCTGGCCGAGGAGCACCACTCGAGAACGGAGCCCTCCAACCTAGTAGATTCTTGTTACTAGCAGTAAGACCCTTGTTACTAGTAGTAATACCCTTGTTACGCAATGCCCTTGTTACTAGTAGTAATGCCCTTGTTACTGGTAGTAATGCCCTTGTTACTACTAGTAATGCCTTTGTTACTAGTAGT